TGTGTTCTCTTAGTAAGTGTTAGCCGTAGTGTTTTCGCGGAAAATTCCCAAAGTTACAGTTTTAATATAAAACACTGGCCCCATGCATGTATAAGACAAAATAGATGGTGGTAGACTAGTATTTCCTTGAATCAGCTAATTAAGATGTTAGATGGTTTGTCACAGTCTTTGTTAAACTTTGATTGCAATCTTATTTTATTTCAGTGGCAGACAGTCAAGGCAAGGTATGCTCTGCTTACGCCGAAAAAAAGTATTGTATCTGTTTTATTTAGCATTTTGAAGCTAAATTCATTTACACCAACCTTAATTTTCAGAGATTCATTAGAATGGCTTGTTTTCAATTTTTAGGCTTAAGTTTAGTACCCCAGGATATGATAACTAAGCTGCATTGCATCATACTCTCAGCAGCTTAGACTTTGAAAGTCAATGGAAGTGGAAGCATACCTTACAAAGGTCGGATTTTAGATGGGGACGTAAGGGGAGTTCTTCTGTATAAGAAAATTGTTATGTAAAGCTTTTGCAAAATTAGTAAACATCAATTAAATACGAACTCAAGTTACTGAAGGTGGTAGAGGTCGAAGGGAGATTCACCCCTGCATCCCAACATGCCTATTCAATTAGACTCTCCCTCATTCGCACATAACGCCCCCTACCCCAACATGCCTCTTCAATTAATTAAACTCTCCCTCATTTATTCGCGCGTAACGCCTTCGGGCCGGGCATTAATTGGCTAAAATTGCTATTCTTGCAACCGTGTGGTGGCATTAGAATAGCATATTTAACACAGGATTGGGAGCTCTGCTTGTTAGAGTATGTGTGCATGCTCCTCTTCGCTGCGTCTCAATACCATAAGTGCTTGGAAGCTTGAGTGTGGCGTTTATTCCAGAGCGGCGCTTATAAGAAAGATATTGGCATGGCACTTTCCATGCCCGTTTCCATGTTACCTATTTCACGTATTACCGTAGTTCAGTATGCCTATCATAGGTCATATCATCGTAAAAAAAGCCGTTTATAATGAAAGGCTTGTGTCTTCATTTTGTTATTTATTCATTTTAACACTGTATACATTGTATTTAAAACCCTGTTCTATTACACTCTGCATTAAGCGCCACGGCGCTTATTCTAGAGCGGCGCTTAACGAAAACAAAAATATCACGTTTGTGGTGCGGCGCTTATTCGAACATTTTTTTAATTCGCCCTTGTTGTGTCCTAGGAAGAGATTTTTATTTCACGATATGGTTTTTCTCGATATGGTGTGTTAACTCGTACTTTAGTTGTGATCTTGTACATCTGTTTGGTTTGCATGTTAATTATAGAAGTCTTCGTTCCTGTCCTACCTTTAATGTCCCCTATTGTAGAGTTGATGTCTGTAAACGTAGTTTTATTTATAGACTTTCTCTTCAATATAATTCTCTTATTTTAACCTCTAATATTGACATTTTTCACGATAATTTGTCTATATTTCGTTCTTTTATTATTAATCATTTGAATAGTTGAGATTTTTATACTCGTCTATATATTTGATATATTTAAATTTTATATATTTTACCAGCCTGTTAGTGGCGATGATTCGCTGTTGGTCTGTTGAAATGAAATAAATAAATAATTCACGGTAGCCTAATTTTGTTGCTGCCGGCGAATCGTGATTGCAAACCTTAATGGTTATAAGTTTTAATATAGACTTGATTCATTATTGTCTTTTATTTTTCTACTAACTTACTAGCAACAACCCTTAATCCAATGGCAACCCCAAGCCCCAGCATACCCTGCATTTTACCTTACGGTCCGCCAACTGTTTATTTAAATAATAAACAATACTTAATTCATACAGGTCTCCCTCCAAATTAAGACCACGTTTGGGACCACGGTTTCCATGGTCTTTAGCAGGTTTGATCTGTAATTAGAATACTCGTCTACTCGACTCGCTAAAAGGATAAAATCATTAAGACAATTTCACAGATCGTGTGATTCTGTAAAATAATTGTGTATCATCATTAACTACGTTACACTCCCGACATGTATTATCATTGGAAATTCTCTATGTGTGTAACCTTTTTTTTTTATTGTATAGAACAATGTTATGCACTAGTTTATAGTTCATCTGTTTCAGCTTGTTTTCTTTGATAGATTTCAAGTTACGTGATTAGTTCTCCCTGTAAATATGAGTATAATCAAAGCGGTCGTACAGGTAATCAACAAGAAGACAGCAAATGATACGGTACTTTTGCGTTTACTTAGGCGTTTACTCCTCTGCTGTCTGCGGTATAACATATACTCTTTAAGGCAAAACATATCCTTGGGGTGGAAAAATATTAGCAGATTTATTTTCACGTCTCCAAATCGATAAAGCACGTACAGTTTTTCCATTTTTAGAACCAAATACCGTCACAGACCATCATCGGGGCTATACATAATTACTTTACTTGGTTTTCAACGTTCATCCTCTACTTTATTTAACAGGGTTCCTTGTTGATGATTCGGTAGTTGGGCGAAACCTGAGCATAATATCAAATGAAATAAAATACTTGAAATCAAAATATTGAAGAAAATAATTTTACCTTTGGTGCAAAGAGTTGATCATATGTTGGATTAAAATTTACTTCTTTCTTTGTAAAATCTACGGGTATATGTGTTCCTATATCCTCCTGCAAAGTAAAAATGCATGAATTTTTAATATTTTGAATTTATAAATTTACAGTTTTCATGCAGTCTTTTCTAGTTGAGAGGTTAAAATTTCATAATTGAAAATTTCATATTTTTTTTAAATTTTCATAGATGCCTAACATTCTTCTGTGACCAGAATAGTAGTTAACAATCGATTTCTGTCCAGAAATCAAATAAAATTTCCAAATAAATATAGGCCTAATTTTAAATAAATCAAATCTGTAACAAGTAGTATTGTTGATAGAGCCTGTGACCAGAATAGTGGTTAACAATCGATTTTTGTCAAGAAATCAAATAAAATTTCCAAATAAATATAGGTCTAATTTTTAATAAATCAAATCTGTAACAAGTAGTATTGTAGATAGAGCCTAGGCCTAGTATAGTAGGCTAGCTGTAGGCAGGAACCAGGCGGGAACACGACCCTAGAAAACTTTCCCCTTGCAATCTCGCCCCTTAAAAACTTTCCCCTTAACAAACTCGCCCGACTGTACACAGTGGCCCCCTAACAAAGTTGCCTCTTAACTCGCCCCCCCCCCCAGGAAAAATCACCCCTCCGACTATAGGCTTACATAGTCGTCCCCTAAAGAAACTCATCTCCTAATAAACTCGCCCTCTAGCAAAGAATTTATAAAATGGTAGGCCATCTGACTGAGGAAAAATAGGCCTAACACATGTTTTCATGGAACTGTAGATAGTCCTAAGCCTATACTTTTTAAGACATGACGTCATGTTCAGTTGACTGACTGAGCCACTGCAGGCACTGGCTTATGGCAAGAATGTCAGGCCTAAAGGAACATAGAAAAAATTGTTAGATTATCACTCCCACCTGTGTCAAAAATTTGGGAAATATTGATGTGAAAATTTAAAAAAATTGTTGTCACATCATTTATTTCAGCAGCATGTAAGAAACGATAAAATTAAACCAGTTTGTATACAATATTTCCAATATTCTTGCCAAATAAAACCAGTCCCTCCCTCACTGATAAAAAAGGAAGCAATATTATATTCTTCCGATTACAAAAAAAAAAAAAAAAAAGCACGCCCTCATCACTTTTTTTTTAAAAAGGCAGTGTTTATTATGCCGGCGCCTGCAAATATGCCAAAATAGTTATTTTGCCGGTCTAATTCTCTGATTTCCTATTGTAAAGTATTACGCCATCAAAATTCCGGTAGCGAGTTGTATGTTTTGCAGATGCTGGCAGAGATATTACACGCATTATTGTACCGTACATACTGCTGGTAAAAAGTTCCTTTCCACTAAATTGCGGCTTGCCGGTTGGAGTCACAGATAGTGATGCGGATTTATTTGCGCGAATCCAAGGCGTCGGTTCGGTCCCTGAGATCTGATTGGTTGCTCACATTTTCCATTTTGCAAAAAGTAGAAACAGTTTGAACTACCAATTTCGCTGAAGAAATGTGAATGCAAATGCTTTGTGAAAATAGCGAGTGTTAGATCTGCGACGACGGTATGACGTTAATGTAAGGCATATGCGCATGCGTAATTATATTCATAATGGGTAATTCCGTGTCAAATCAACCAGAGGTCCCAGGTCGACCGTCTCCGATTTTTATGAAAATTCTTAAAAATGATCCACTATGTGAAAAATCAACACACACAAAAGATTAGCCCTACTGGATATGTAGTTTCCGAGATATTGACGCCCCAAAAAAGGGGCGTGGCTGATGCGCAAATGCAATTTCCTCCAACTTTGGAAGCTTATAACTCAGGATTGGTAATAGCTTTCAAGATCAAACTTGGTATTCTAACTTATATTCCCCCATATTACACAAATATGGCATCAGATTAACTGTTATCCCTTCTCTTTTGAAGTTATCTGCACTCAAAATAGCCACTTTGTTTAACGACGCAATTTTTTTGTGATTTTCAATGTCAACCTGGGTCCATATGAGTGAGTGTATACATCTTAAATTACAGATATATTATCTATGGGTAGTTGCCTCTAGCCACAAGCAAGCAAAGGCTGATCAAATGATTTAAAATGGAATGGGAACCATTCAAAGTTGGGACCAGCCCTAAAAAGTGAAAAAAGCCTGTTTCCCATTAAAGGTTCGTCATGTGGACAGTTAAAATCTTTTCTTAAATTTACACCAGTTAACCAGATATATTAGATCTACTTATACACCAAATTTCAGCTTTGGTTCTCAGCTCCTTCATGGTTAGATACTATGTTGAAAACTACACATATTGTAACATAATCGGAAATAACTAAATTTTTTAAGAGTTAGGTAATTCCATGCCATGGGAACATAGATTTTTAAAATTTTTCATACTGACAGTTATTTATGTGAATTGAAAAACCTCAAATTTTTAGAATTCCTGTTTGTTTTCCATAGCGGCAGTTTGATGTAAAAGAGGGCGTGGCACAAATTAGTGCACTGTGAAATTAACTTTGATTTTCTTATGCTAATATCTTTGGAAGTATAGCGCCTATAACCTTCAGATTTTGTGGTGTAGGACATCTTTTGCTGCTGATTCCAAATCCAGAAAAGTTGTAGCATGTACCATTGTGGAATAGTAATGGTCTAAAAATGGGACAAAAACCTGCCTGGACAAACTTTTTGCATTTTTGGAGGGCTGTATATACTGGTAATACTGGTGGGTTAGGATTCCTAAAAAATTTGGAGATAAAAAAAGATTTACTTTTTGAGTTACGGCTACCTGAACAATGGTCCAGACACATATTTTAACATAATCGGAAATAACGAAAGTTGCCAAGACTTGGGTTATTCTATGCCATGGGTATTAGATTTTTTGCAAACTGACAGATATTCATGTGAATTGAAAAACCTGGAACTTTGAGACTCCAATTCCTGTTAATTTTCCTGTAGCAGCAGTTTGACATAAAGGGGATGTGTGCACAAAATAGTCTGCTGCAAACTTAACTTGGATTTTCATATCCCTATATCTTCAGAAGTTCAACGCCTATAACCCTGTCTCTTATACACATCTAGATGTGTATAAGAGACAGCTTAAAATCGCTTCATGAAAAAAATCTCCCTATTTTTTGGTTTTTAAACTTGGGATCTCTGAATTAATGTCGAAATATTGAATCCCAACACGATGGCGTGTATTTCAATACTTGGAGTATGTATTATACTTTCTTATCTGAGATTAATCAGTGGGCCTTTCGGTTTTAAGTTAGCATAATGTATACAAATTTGATTAAAGTTAATCATGATGACATAATGAATTATAACAAAAGGATCATCAAGCCTATGATAAGTAGATATAAACAAGAGGGTCATAATTTATTAGACTAACTAAACAGCAGGGGAATAAAGTATGTATTATTGTCGTCAACGGTCTATTGTTAAACGCGTCATCAGTGTTAGTTAACGAGTTACGCCTTTTGGCAGCACACCAAAACTCCCAAAAGTCTATAAAATTAAATTAATGTTTTATTAAATATTTAACTTATTTCTGTCAGTCAAAGGTATGTATTCTTGAGCAAAAAGTCATTATCTAACCTTTGTAAAATACTAATCATATATACACTCGGGCGTTGAAAAACATTGTCGGGCGGTGTTTAGTAGGACCCCTAGGCCTATGCATATAGTGGTTCTACTACATGTAGCTACTCTAGGCCTAGCATAGGCTAGGCCTGATATTATATATAGGCAGTACTATATTGTACTATCTTGGCCTTGCTACGGCTATCTTTAAGCCTTAGCCTAGCCAGGGCTAGGCCGCTTTTAATGTTCAGCCAGAATAATTTGCCTACCTATGTTTTGCTTTCATCAGCTTCATAATTTTCTAAATGAAATTTACCGTACTTCCAGTACGGTAAAGTTACGCCATGCTGCCTGGCGTCAAGCAGTAGTAATAATTCATCATCATCATCGACTAAATCTGCTACGACGAACAGATTGTCTATCCTGGCAGCAGCCATCATACAGTACATACAGAGTCAAAGAACTTAAATAGCTAGCCTGTGTTCCAGGCCCTAATTTTAGGTTACTCACTCTTTATTGCACTTAGTGCGCACCATACCTAATTTAATTGGCGTCCCATACTCGATTTCTTTTTTTTTCGAATTAGGGCCTGGGCAAACGATTCATGCGTACGATTTCCCACATCAAATTTGATGTGGGATATCGTATGCATGACTGATTTTGTAAATCACGTGATTGGCTAACTTCATGCATATTAATCAATCTTGGTAAATTTTCAAAATTGAAGATGCGGATGTCTCCGCTAGAACAAGCTCCAGCTCCCTTTTGGCTACCTACTTGAATTAAAACAGTTAGTATAATAGTTCTGGCCTGCTGAGAACGACATGGACTGATAACCGTAGGCTATAGGCCTACTTGGAAACTTGCTCACCACTAGCTGCTACACAGATTTAGGCCTTTAGGGTAGAATATTGTTAAAAGGGTAGACCTCTGTAAGTAAGAACTTAAAAATAGGCCAAGCCTCTACTAGTCTAGACTAGGCCTACTACCAGACTCCAGGCGAGGCCTGAGCCATCCTACTGGAAAGTTAAAGTTTTGTTGTATTTGCTAGTCTTAGCTTAATTGTTTTTGCCATTGCCAACATTAGTCTTACTAGGGTCTATTCTAAATATTTTAGGCCCGTTTTATTAGGGAAGACTTTTTAAATTTAGTCATGCCTAACCATGGACCTATGGCCTAACTAGTCGACGCGAGTGACTCAGTTTCGTGGCTCCAAAAATATGAACATTTGATTGGTTGAAATTGTTTATTTCGGTCCGCCCATTTATCCAAATACGGAATATAAGATTATATCATTCTTTTGGCATCCTGGTTCCTGATTTCAGTGTTTTACAAGTCGCTTATTCCGTCTATAAATTAACATTCTCGTTGGTGGCGCTGTCCAGAATGAGAAAAATAATAAGAAATAAGAGACTTGTGGCAAGTCTATTAAATAGCAGAAGAATGAGCTGTTCTGGTTCCGCGTATTTGCATTAAAATTGATGGAACATCCACCCTCCTGCGAATGGGGTAAAATTTGAATATTTTACAAGGTGGAGCAACTACAGGAAACAAACGAACCAGAGCAGCGCCTTTATTATTACTATATAGCGCCGCCGAGCGGACGGGGTAAAATTGTTCACCGTGTACCCACAATGCCTTTTGAACGGATGTTCCACTATAATTGGAAAGCTGCTCTATCTTCTGCTATTTATTTATTATCTTTGATACAGTGTGATTTTTAATTCAGTCAAGCATGTCCGGTGGTGACGTATGTATTTGCATCGTCGTCGCAAAACGGGTTTAGCCAGGCGAGAATTTGCATAATAATTAACTGTAACCAGGAAACGTGTTTCAAAACATTGCTCACGGCGTACGTAATTGAATGCTGATTAGTCATTTCGTCACCCGAAAGTCAATGCAAGACCCCCCCCCCCGCAACGGAAAAGTTAAACACGGTGGCACGCCAGGTCTAGTTACTATAACACAGCCCGGCTTGAGATAAGCCACCTAGTTCAGACTGGCAGCTGGAGGATAAACCCGGTGAGTTGAGCCGGGTTTGTCCACCTAGTCTGAACTAGCTTATCGTCTGTCTGGCCAACCGTGTAATACGTCATAGATAATTAGCATATCGTCTTAGATTACTTGTTGTCGCAAATCTAATAAGCAATTAGTAGAGCTCAACATAGTACACTAAGGCCTATAGGAAAATTATTATAAGGTTAGATTTAATGCTTGAAAAAATATCGAACTGTTGTAGTAGCAGTTATCGGTTGCTATAGTGATATGATCAGTATACGTTGTGCGTATTTACATTTAGCTGTGCGTATGCTGATTTTTGCTCCTCCTGCAGTACGTGTTTAATTATAACTACACATCAACAGTACAGTACGGATACGCTGAATAAATATTGTGTTAGAAAGAACCTGTTTGTAATGCTATTTTAATAGACTTTCGTCAAAAAAAATAAACATTTCAGCATTCAAGAGAGAATACAGTCACTGACGTCCTTTTTGGTCGGTGCATGCAGGCAGGTAAAATCGTGCGATTTCATAACTAGGCTGGGCTACGGCCTAGTAGTAGTAGTAGGAGGAGGAGGCCCGGGCGGCCTACATCTAAATTTGTTCCTTGAGTCTTTAAAATAGGTCTAGAATATTCCTATTAAACGTTCAGTTTTTTGTGTTTATGAAGGTCCATTGATTCAATGAATTCCTTAATTGTTCATACTTAATATGGAATTTGAAGTAACTTTCTTGGGGTTCTAATTAAGCTTGTTTTACGAAAGTAATTTTCAATTACAATTCAATTTTTATCGCGGTGCGCGATGTATTCGCGGTGACGAAAAAAATGAGTATTTTTTTTGCAAACGAACCTAAAAAAATCAAGCCAAGTGTCCACTAATAGAAAAATTAGTAGACGCTGGGGAATAGGCAAATAACATTGGGAGTTACAGTGATGACGTCACGATTGACTTATAAAACTCCTTTTACAGCCTGGGTTCTCGCGAGAGCCCTATACAAGTATCCGGATCGGAAGTTAACCGCTAGCGCTAACCGTTAGCACCTGTGTGAGAACGCCCGATCGGTTACCGCTAACGGTTAGCAAGCGCTATCGGCGGTTAGCGATTTTTTTTTCCGTACGAAACATTTGCATGAAACTTCACTCGGGCCATCTCGGATTGACTCGAGTGAGTACGATACGAGGAACA